ATATTATCCGGATTACTCCGAAATTTTTACCAGGGATATAATATGATTCGGGTGGCCGACTATTTCCAGATTCTTAGCATACATATTTCGGATTTTTTCGTATTTGTTTTGGATTATCCCTTTTAATTGGATTATATCCGGATTGTTGCAGACAATTTTCGTATTCTTAGCATACAGATTTCGAATTGCTTCGGACTATGTCTCTATCAACTGGAGTAAATCCCAATCGTTCCATACACCTTTCGGATTGTTTCGTACTTTTTTTGGAATAGGATTTTGCCTCACTTAATTTAAAATTGTTGCGGACTATTATAGGATTTCTTGCTTACAGAGTTCGGATTGCTCCGGACATTTTGCGGATTAAGTTTTTTAACTAGCTTAAATTTGGATTGTTGCGGACGAATTACGGACTGAATTCGTAAACATTCAAGATTTACAATTTTCAGACTAATCTGTACTAATTTGTCCGTATTTAATCTGGAATTAGTCCGAAATTTTTACCAGGGCCTAGACTGCGGTTAGCCAAAACTGTAACGCTAGGAACTGTACATAAGTATTATATACACTTTTTAAAAATACCATAATTTTTTCTATAATATTTCAGCAACAAAGCATATCGAATTAATTCAACACAATGTGTCAGTAGCACTAAAAGAAATTGACGTATTGAGAAAGAGCACAGGTATAGTTTTAATTTTATTTATATATAATTTTATTTAAGTCTAATATTTTGAATTTAGAAAATCAAATATTTGTATTGAAAATTCTTAAAAAGTCGTCTATATTTTTTTGTTATAAAAATTATTTTCCTCATAAAGTTCTGTCTTAAAGCTGTATGTAAAAGTATATGAAAAATAATAATAATAAATGTTAAATAAGATTATAATAATAATAATTAAATATATATTTATGTTATGACGCTTAATGACATTATTGTAGAAGAGGAATCAACAGATGGTAAAGCAACAGTAATATGATTAATCAAAAGTATAAAAATCTTTCTATTGCAATTTTAAACATTGCTTAAAACGTAAATTATTAATTTAACATACAGAAATTGAAATGATCCTTAAGAAAATTTATTTAAAAGGCAAACTGTAGACATTATATTAAACTCATAACTAAATTTTGATTAAATAATTTTTTACATGAAAAATACGTAAATGTTCACCTTACTCTGTTTAATGATGTGCCTATAGAAGAAGAGATAGAAACTGATGGTAATAAAATAATATTATAATGAATTTAAAAAAAGTACATTCATATCATTTTATATTTTAAATTCTTTAAATACAGAAACTACAATTGGAATTGAAAGAGGGAATTGAAAGAAATGGTAAAGCAACATTATTATAAGAAATAAATAATTATTACAATACATACAACTAGTAAATTTTTTAAATTCATTTAAAATAAGGCCAATAGAAGAAGAGACTGCAAATGAAGGTAAAGAAACAATATTATTATAAATAAGAAGTTAAGAGTTATGAGATCAATAATTTATTTAAATTTATTTAATTTAGAGATTACAGAAGTGGAATCGATAAATAATGGTAAATCAACAATAATGTAAATAAAAACTAATATCTAAATGCAACTGTTAATTTATTTTAATTTGTTTTATACAGAGACAGTGGAAAAGGATAATGTAAATGATGGTTTAATTAATTTAAATTCATTTGATATAGAGCATATCTTATAGAGAAGACTATGAATGAAGGTAAAAGAACAGTAAAATATTAAATAGAAAGTTAAAGAGTTATGTAATCAGTAATACATTTAAATTTATTTAAAGCAGTGCCTGTAGAAGAGGAATCACTAAACAATGGTAAATCAACAATAATATAAATAAAAATTTGTCCATCAAATAATAAATAATCAACAAATTAATTCAATAAATTAGTAAAAATATTCCTTTTTCAAAGAAAAATAACAATTATGCAAAATGCAACTAAAATAATAATTTTTGCACAACTTTATAATCTTTGCTTCAAATTTTTCTGTACTGCCAAATGTCAACCTAAAATAAAAAAAAATGAACGTCAATTCTGAGTTGGCATGTTTTTTAAATCGCAGCTGAAGTGGCGATTTCGTCTAACTATAAACGATAAACGCGTGTTTTCGTGCATTTAAAAATTATAAGAATTAAATAATCTAAAGTATTCATAAACAAATATATACCTAGGTAGGAGAGAAAAAGAAAAAATGGACTTTTATTATGTTAAAATATTTAAAGTTGTTAAATAAATTATTTAATTTTTAACATTTTAATAATTAATTTAACCATTCTTTACAGTTGTTTAACTGAACCCAATAGCAAAATTTAGTGAAAATTAGTTCGTTTATGGTTCCTACTTAAATTATGACAATTACTGCAACTAAATGAATCAATTAATATAACTATTAACAGATACTTAAATATATACATATAGGTAAACCAGAAATTAGTCGGACCATTCATAAATATTGTATTTACCTCTAGTATTCTGATAATAAATTAATATGTAAAATAAAATTTTGATAATAAAATTTGTAACAGATTGTCATGCGGCATTACACAAAGAATTCCATGATAAATGGACACAAACTAAATTAAAAGGAAAATAAATTTAAAAAATGAGAATACATCAAATTTTAAGAAAATTAAGACGGATTTAATAGCGTCACTGAACAAGTAGGACAAGAACGAATAAGTTGTTTAATAAGAATAATAATAATTAATTATATTAATGTTGATACTTTATATGTAATTCTTTTCCTTTTTTAGGGTTCCGTACACCTACGGTGTATCGGCGGAACCCTATTGGTGAGACTCTGTTGTCCGTAGCCAAATCGTGTCCCCTCCCCTAGCGGCTAAACTATTTGACCTAGAGAGCTCAAATTTGGTACAGATATGTATTTTCACACGTAGATTACAGGAAAAATATAGAGAATGTGTTTGGAGATGATGGTCATAGCGTTGTCAAGGAAATAACAAGATTTTTGGCCAAAAATGCATAAAAAGTGACCATTCCCCCCCCTTAACTTCTAAACTATTCAACATGGAGGGCTAAAATTTGGCATACTGGTGTATTTTATCGTGAATATTACAGGAAAAATATAGAGAACTTGCTATGTATTAATGTCCATAGCGTTGTCAAGGAAAAACTAAAAAAAATTTTGAAATTTTTTTTTTTCTAATTTCTACATTATTTGATCTAATTAACTAAAAATGGGTTTATTAGTCTATTTTTACAGTCTGATCACAAAAAATATATTTAAAAATCTAAAAAAAAAAAATTTTTTTAATTTTTTTTTTTAGATTTTTTAACAAAAAAATTTTTTTTACATTTTTTAAAAATTTTTTACAAAACTTTAAAAATAAAACAATAAAAACAGCAACAAATTTTGTTCCTCTACTTATTATTGTTTACAATATTAGATATATACAATACTTTAATTTTTTTATTTATTTTTTTTATCAAATGATATTAATATATTGTTTTAATTGTTTATTTTAATTCTACCAATTACCGATAAATGTTGCAAGTATTGTTTTAATATTTGTGTACGGAACCCGACATTGCAGTGCGAGTTCAACTCGCACTTGTCCAATTTTTTTTAATATTAAAATTATTATTTAATATTAAATTATTTTCAAACATAGTTACAATTATACTATTGTTCCGTATAATTTTTGTAAGCTCTGTGGTTGTTATTAAGGAACAATTTAAATTTTTTCTTGACACTTACCTTATTTATTTGATACTGAAACAACAAATATTATCTATGTATTAATTGTATTGTAGAAAAAATTAAAATATGTACAAAATTAAAACACTTATTGTTAAGTAAAAACTTTTAATAATTATTATGTAAACCTTTAGTATAATTTTTAGTATAAAGTTTCCAAATTTTAGCACAATTAATAACTTGAATCTAGAAGTTATAGAAATCTATAACAATAATCAAAATTGTACACTAGGGAATTTAGACTAGGATCTATGAATTTAGACTTAAGTTCTAACCACTATACTTACAAGGCATGCATATACAGACACGTTTTAATTTTTTAGTTATATATAGACTTATAATTGAGAATTAAGCGCCCAAAAGTCCATTTTTTATTGTTTCAAGAAATTTAAACAAATGCAATTTAACACATAACCATTGAATTTAATTTCAAAGTCGAAAAAATGTATTGCATTATTTACATCAAAATTCTTTCTTGTGCTTAGAAGTCTTTTTAATAAATAAAATGGATTATAAGTAATGAATTAAATATTTTTTGGGCATTTCTTTAATGTGTGATTTTTTAGAAACTTATTTAATTATCTTTAACAACAAATTCAAAGTAAATTTAAAAAAAAATAAACTTTTGGCTTCTCAATTATTAGATCAAAGATGAGAAAAGTGGAGTTATGCTAAAATTAATACATTAAAAAATGTTTTTGCGTAGGTTATAAGAATAACTAACATAAAACGGGAATAATATAAGCACAGAACTTTTATCACATTCAAAATACAAGAAGATATATTAACCGAACGATAAGCATCCTTTGACGGTAAACTTTTGAATAAATAATTATTTGAATTAAATAAATATTTTTCAAATAATTTGAATTAATTAAATTCTGCGTATTTGATGTTTTTTATTTGCGTATTTTGTTTGCGTACGCGTATACTCTTTGCGTACGCGTATTTTCTTTGCGTATCCAGTTAACAAGTTTAGACAAGTAGTTAAATGTAAAGGGAGAACTAAGTTCTTCTTTGGCTTAACGAGTGAAAGATTGTCTTTTTGTGATAAAAATATGGATCCGTTTATAGTGTCAGTAGTCACTTTTTCCTTTCTCAGAATTGTGCGATTGCATAAGCAATTAATTGAGAGAAAAAAGAGGTTTAGAAGATGGTGGGTTAAACCTCATCTGCGTGATGGTGTGAGAAATAAGTTTGGATTATACCAAACCTTATTCCTGTATTTCAAATGCCGGAATGCAGAGGAATTTTTTAAAATGATGAGGATGACAGTGGAACAATTTGAACTTCTTCACAGCCTTTTGAAAAATAAGTTGGAGAAATCTTTTTTAACAAGGCCACCACTACCTTCAGAATTAAGACTGGCAATAGTACTACAGTAAGATATTTTTCATTATTTTGTTCGCATGAGAAATTAGCCATTTACTTAAAATTTTTTTTAGAGTTTTGGCATTCTTTATATAGTTCTAAAGTAGGGTGTCTATTGGTCCTGGAATTTCTGGAAATGTTCTTGATTTTTAACTTTTATTCTTTAATTTTCCATATTTTAATTTAAAATCTATATTAACAATCGTTGTGTTACTTTTTTCTTTCCTAACTTTTTTTAATAATTCCCTTTTCAAAATTTTCAATCTTATAATTGAATTCTTGCAAAAAAATTTGAGAATAATTGAAGCGTTTTGTGCAGAAACCGCATAAGTCCATTTTTTTCGAAAATTACTTTTTTATTGAAAATTTTTCTTTAAATGAAGCTTTTCAATCTGGTAAAATATTACATAAGTGACTAAACTTTAAACCCTTTAAAAAATAATTAAAATATTTCGTGCAGAAACAGCAAAAGTCCATGATAAGTTTTTTATTTGTTTGTAATATTCTTGACGCATTTAAATAATTTATATTAAATAGTTCATATTATAAATAAAAAACACTCAAATGAAGCAAAAAGTGATAGTGGTGACTGAAATTTTTAAAAATTAGAAAATATTGAAAATTGGTTAAATTTATTCTTAAAAGAATTTTATTATTTATAAAATGTTTCTAAAAATTAGCAAAATTCAATATTTTAAATAAATGTTATTAAATATTTAATAAATCTTTAATATTTTACTCGATTCAATAAATTTTCTGTGTTTTTCATTTCATTTTGTGCAGAAACAGCATAAGTCCAAATGTTAATTTATTTTTTAATTTTTTATATTAAGTAGATAATTAATTAATCACGTTGAATTTTTTAACTTGAAGGTTAGTAGAATGTACTGCAAAAAGCAGAATAAAAAAAATCTTAAGATTTCCAAGAAAAACAGTTTTTATTGATACCTGAACAATTTCGAATTATGGACTCATGCTGTATCTGCACAAAACGCTTCAATTGAATTCCTTGAAAGAATTCTATTACTTAAGAAAATAATTAAATTTTAGCGAAAAATTATTAAACAATTTTTGAAAACCTTAATTATATTTTTTTAAGAATTATTTAAATTTTTTTTTAATAATTAAGTTTCCTTAATAATTTTAATTGAAAATTTTTTAAGTAATTAAAATTTATGAACAATTTCTTTCCTGTTTTTAAAATAATTAAAGTTTTTCTAAAATAATTGGATTTTATGGAAAAATTTTATTAAGAATTAAAAAAATTGAATTCTTTCATGAAATTTTATTGAAAAGTATTGGGAATTTTTGCAAAAAATTTTATTATTTATAAAAATAATTGAATTATTTCGACGAATATTATTATTTATGAAAATAATTGAATTTTACTATTTATAAATATAATTGAACTGTTTCGAAGTATTTATTAAAATTTCAGCAAATAATTAGATTTTTTCGAAATATATTATTTTAAAAATTAAAAAAAATTAATTTTTTCGTAAAATTTTAGAAAATAATAATTGAATTTTCGAAAAATTTTAGGACAAATTAAGAAAGGCATTGGATTCTTTTGTGAAACTCACTTTTGAAAATAATAATTGATTTCTTGCCCGAAGAATTTTAATACAAATTTTAAAATTAATAAACAAGAATAATTAATTAGTAAATTAGTTAACAATTAAATTTTTTGAAAGTTTGAATCTGAAATTATTCATGTAAACCTATCAATATACAATTATTTGTTTTATATTAGCTACTTAGCACATGAAGACAGCATTGACACGACGGCGAAGATATTTTTTGTAGGCAAATCAACTGCATATGAAATGATCCGAGATGTTTCTAAAATTATATGGGAGGTTTTAAGCCCCAAATTTTTGGGAATTAAAAGTGTAGAAGAATGGCAAGAGGTTGCAAAGGAGTATCAAGATACTTGGGATTTTCCCAATTGTCTTGGTGCTATTGATGGAAAACACGTACGCATAGTAAAACCGCCACACTCTGGCTCTGCATTTTATAACTACAAAAAATATTGTAGTTTCGTGTTAATGGCGGCATGTGATGCCAAATACCGACTTACTTGGATCGATGTCGGGGATTGTGGTAAATTCATCTTATTTGGATTATCTTAATTATACAATTAAGTTATATTACATTGCAAATTTTTTCTACTTAAAGGTGGATTTAGTGATTCGTGTGTTTTTGAAGCCACGGATTTTGGAAAACTATTAAAATCAGGCGAAATAAACATTCCTGAACCTACTCCATTGCCGAGAAGTAATGTTGTACTGCCATATGCCTTTATTGCTGACGAAGGATTGACGTTGTCCAATTTTTTAATTAATCCATATCCGCGACGAAAAGTGTCAAACAATCTTAAGAAGGCTGTCTTCAATTATCGGTAAGTACAATTATTATTTTTTCTTGTTTTTATATATAATAGCGCTTTGTCGACCGCTTTACAGTCGAATTCATAGTTTCGACATTTTGAATAACTAAGAATAACTAAAATAATTTGAAAATTTCAGATTTCTTGTTGTCATATTGTTATTTTTTAATATAATTTTTAATTTTAAGTTTTATTGAGTAGAGCATAACCCGCGCTTCGATATAAGCGAACATTGAAAGGAAAAATTATATTTTATTTATATGATATTTTGATGTTTACTTTTATCATGTATTCTTAAGTTATTAATGACTTTTTTATCAAATTTTTGATATTAATGTTAAATACTTAAGAAATATTAAAGAAAAAAATTAAAAATATCTCAGAACAAAATAATTGATCTATAATTGACACAGAGATGGCACACGGAGCCCACCATACCTTCGTTACAAAATTCCCTGTCTTTCCCTGACCGAGGGAACATTTTTCCCTGACTTTTTAAAACTGTCATATAGCTATCAGTTAGGAAAATAAGGTTAAAAGAGGTTTACTAAATACGCAATAAAGTATAATTTTTATGAAATTAAAAAAAGTTAGTGATGCCGTAAGACTCAAGATTTTTGAGACAGGACAAGATAATCATTTTCAAGATCAAGATGAACATTTTTCTTATGGAATTACCCTGTGAATTTTAGCTTTAAAATTATAATTGTTTAATGTGAAATATAAGACCACTGGAATTTTCATCAATTGAATTCAAGAAAGAAAAAATTTTTTAAATTATTACTAGGGTAATGTCACATTGAGTGGACCGCCACATTGAGTGGACCACCTGAATTTTTAAGTTATCTGACAGCGGAAACGTGAAATAAATAAAACGAATAGCAGCACCGCACCTAGAAACCGGAAGAATGTATGTTCCGCGACAATCATATAAGTTATCGTTTGATGAAACGCATTTTTAAGAACACAAACCAAAAAAGAAGTCGCTCTTACAATGAGTAAAGTGATTCGGAAGTGTAAAAGTAGTGTAAAATTTAAGTTTTAAAAGATAACTTATTTTTTTCCTACTACTTTAGACATTAAAATTGATTGTCTTAGTTTAATTAAGTGATAATTTTGACTCAAAAAAAAAAATTTTGGTGTCTGCCATAAAAAGTTGCATGTCACCATCAGTGGACCACTGTTTATAACAATGAGTGGACTGCCTGTTTTTTATATTTTTAATGACAGTTTACCATTTTTATGGAAATAAATTGACAATAAATTAGTTTGAAACTGCTTTATGTTCTTTATTAATTTTTTTGTGATTTTGATGTGATATGTGCCAAATTATTAAAAATGGTTTCACTTGTAAACATAGCGACACAAACATGGTCTGAAGCTGCATAAGCATAAATTTTGTTTCAATATATCAGAAATATTAAATACATTAAAGAATTTAGAATAACTTTTACAATTTTTTAAGAGTGGTCCACTCAAGGTTACACTTTTCTCATTCCTTAAAAATGAGCTATTTTTTTAAAGTCAATTGTTTTTCTTAAATAAAAAAAATCAAAGCTATTATGGTATAAACACTTATGTAGGGATCTAAACTAAAGCTTGGAATAGAAACCTCCGATTAATTTGCTGTTATAAAGAATTTTTTAGAAAAAAGCTTAGGCGGTCCACTCAAGGTGACATTACCCTAATAACATAGCAATATTTCATAATCTATTCAAATTGAAGCGTTTTGTGCAAAAACCGTATTAGTTCATTTTTTCGAAAATCACTTTTTATTGAAGATTTATCTTTAAATAAAGCTCTTCAATCAGGTAAAATATTACATAAGTGACAAAACTCTATAAACCCTTGAAAAAAATAATTAAAATATCATTTCGTGCAGAAATGATAAGTTTTATATTTACTTGTGATATTCTTGACGTGTTTTAATAATTTATATTAAACAGTTTATACTATAAATAAAAACCACTCTAAGGAAGCGAAAAGTGATAGTGGTGATTAAATTATATTAAAATTAGAAAATTGGTAAAATTTATTCTTAAAACAATTTTATTATTTATAAAGTGTTACTAAAAATTATCCAAATTCAATATTTTAAATAAATGTTATTAAATATTTTCTAACTTATAGGTTAGTAGAAAATAATGCAAAAAGCAGTCTTAGACATTTCTTCTATCTTAAAAAAGTAAGATACTTCTGTAAGCTTTTTATAGTATCTTAAATTAAGATGTTTTTGGCGCAATAAGATGTTTAGCGATAAAGTTACTTATGTATCGTCAGATGCGAAAAAAATTTAAGTTACTAAAAACTAAGATGCATCAAATGTTTTATATATGTATAAGCCCATAGTTAACCTTCAAACTTTTTTCCCAAAAAATATGCTGAAAATATGTACGAAGATACTTTTAACATCTTCAATTAGGACATTTCAAATAACTAAAAAGTGACTACCAAAACATCTTAGAAATGACTACCAAACCATCTTAAATTAAGATACTTCTTTTTGCAGTGTACAATCCTTCTTCTATGAGGAAGCAAAATATGAATTTATGGTATTTTTTACAAGTTTTGAAATAAAAATCAAGTTGTCAGGTATTATAAATGTGATTTTTGTAAATATCGCATTAAAGTATGAAACTAAAAATTTGATTGTTACTTAGTTTGAACTTCATTTTGGAAGAAGATAATTTTTTAACTGTTATCGAAATAATGAATTTTCAAGTGTTTGTTAAAATTTGTAATTATAGTTTAATAACATGCAGATATCCATGGAGAAGATAAACAAGCAGGCAGCCATAGTCGCATTGAAGTAAATAAAGAGCATGAATTTTCTAATGGATACAACAGTGAAGATGAATACAGCAATAATGAAAATTTATCAGCTGATGAGTGGCAAAAAGTAATATGATTAATTGTTATATTCAGAAAAATTTCCTTAAAATCACGAACTATAAGTTGTGACGTATGATTTTAAACTATATTTAATTTAGGCTAAAAGTTCTGCTTACGTCAGGCAAAATCCGACGCTTTCCAACAATAATAATTTGAAATTTAAATAAATAAATCTCGCCGTCAGGCGCCAATTAATTTTTGAAGCTAAATTAATAAAACTTTACTCGGCTCGACTAATAACAAACTCAACTCCTCTGAACTTACTCTCTCACTCAGAGGAAATTTTGCTCGAACGATTGGCAAAGCAGAAAATACCAACGGCGAGACACGACTGGCACAATATCGGCAAAATGAGGTTATCTCCTCAGAGAATATCGGCTTAGTCCAAAATATGAAGAAAAAGGGAAAACTAGAAATTCACACAACAATTCTCGTAATTCACAATTTATTGTTTTTAACAATTTTTGAGCTTCACGCTCCACCTCTTAACACTCTACACTCTTCGGCAACTCCGAAAACTCCAACAAAACGAACTCAAAATCAACAAAAACGGGAAATTATTTTGTAACGACGGACTACTATACCGGCGCAATAAGTAACAATTTCCGTTATGGCGGCGAAAGTACAGGACACCTGTCGCGTCTCGGCTTTCTCCGCACGTGGCCCGTCTTCTTCCTCTCGTTCTCCAGAAATAGTACTGGCCCCGCCATCTATCACTTTCTCCGGTAGCTAGCCGCGCGACCCACTTTCGCTACTACTAGTAGGTCAGCCGGCGGCACTTACTTTCCCTAATTACCATCGATAATTGATGCTAGTTCGGGGACTTTTCCGACGGATGGCGTGACGATTCAGAATTTTCGGCAATTAAATGACAAGATGAAAATTGACTTCGTCACAATCCCCTCCCCATGACCGGTACTATTTTATATAGGACCGTCATCATATGATGATCTTAACGACTGGCTTTCTTAATTTGTTCGGCTCTCCTATTCTGTTCGTCTCTTCTCTTCTCTCGTTCAGCTCTCCTCTTTCGTCATTCGGCTCTTCTCATCTCTTAATCGGCTCTCCTCCTTTCTCGTTCGGCTGTCCTCTTTTCTCGTTCGGCTCTACTCCTTTCTCATTCGGCTCTATTCTCATTCTTTATTCGGCTCTCTTACTCTCCGTTCGGCTCTCCATTCCTCTATTCGGCTCTCCTTGCTTTCCTACTCTTTCTTCTTCTTTGCCTTCCTCTCCTCCAACAATTGTCTAATTGCCAAGTCGACCGTTGACGCTGGAAGACCGGCTAGGGCTTTTGTGATGGCCATAATTCTTTCCACTAGGTCCTCATCCTCTTTTTCTTCCACACTCGTTGACTGAGACTTTTGGGTTTCTGGCTCATTGCTTTCTTTCGGCTCTAACGGTTCTCCTTCTCCCACTGCTGGCTCCTGAGTGTCTCCTTCCGTAATTTGGTCACTCTCGTTCGGCATATTTGTCTCGTTTGTTGACTCGATGTCTTCTTCTTCTGGCTCATCGGTCCCAATGTCCTCCACATCCTCTTCCACATAATAGGGAATACCCGCAAAACGGCAATATGCTTCCGCGCATCTTGGGCAGTCTTTCATTTTGGTGTTTCGACGTCCACAGTTTCGGCAGTAAATGTGAAGAATAGGGTATTTGCAATCCGCCGCTCTATGTCCTCGCCTCCAGCAGTTAAAGCAACAATAGGGGGGTGGATCTAAACCTTCGATTGTTGGGATCTCCTTCAAACCACTAAAGATGACCCCATGTTTCCTACAGTACCGGCCAAAATTGTCAGTCCACCCATTTTTGAAGGAATGAAAAAAATTTTTTAACATAAAATTTATGAAAACTCAAATTTTTTTGGTTTATATTTTGAAAGACGATAAAATTGTAAAAAGAATAAGACCTCACAGAAGTCATTTGGCAAATATTTTTTCAAGATATTCTTAAAAAATCGTCATTTTCAATGTTTTACAAAAATTTGAATAACTTCTAAAATAATGAACGCTTTTTAATAAGCTTAGGCTTATTTTAAAGGTCATTTTCTACAGAATAAGAATTACTTATAGGCATTAACCTGTAATTTTTTTCTTGGAATAAGCATGACGTCAAAGTTAGACAAAAAAATTGGAAAAATTTGAAATAAATTTTTTGTACTAAAAACTATTCTAGAACATATATAAAACATGATATGCTTTATGCACAAAGGGACATAATACTTCACACATTTGAGACAGGTAAGTAAGGTTTCAAGTCAGTGATATGAACTTTTGGGACTCGCCGACTTTGTTCATCTCGTAGGATGAATACGGTTGGCGACCGGACTTCGACAATCTCGTATGGACCCTCGTATTTCGGCGCAAATTTTTCCGCGAATTTTTCTGCTCCACTAGACAACTTATGGTTTTTTCGCAACACTAAATCACCTACTTTAAAAGTCACATCTCTCCTACCTTTGTCATAGTACTTTATTTGCCTCGCTCGTTCTTTTTTTAATATGTCTGGCTACCATGTCTCTCAACGCGTCTAATCTCTTAATTCTATCTACCCACTCTTTCGGCTCGATTCTAACTACTTTTCTCTTTCTTTCGATTTCTCTTCGCAGGCTCTTCACTGGCTTTGGGTGTCTTCCGTAGTTTAGGAACGCAGGAGACGTCTTCGTTGCCGCTTGTGTTGCTGTGTTCACAGCATGGCGGAACTCGTGAACATGAAGGTCCCAGTTTCTATGGTCGGCATCAATGAAAGTGGAGATCATAGTTTTCAAAGTCCTGTTGCTCCTCTCGACTGGATTGGCTTGTGGGTGGTAAGGTGGCGTCGTGATGTGTTTGACTCCGTATTCCTCAAGTGTTGACTTGAGAAATTTGTTGTCAAACTCTTTACCATAGTCGGTTAGTAAGTACTCCGGCGTTTCCCATCTAAATAGGACCAACTCCTCAAATGATTTGGCTACCGATTTTCCAAATAATATAGGTTCTCGTTCTCAGCGATCCACCCTGGGAACCTCTGAGGATGCTGGTTCACCAACTCACGGCGTTTGAGGTACCATTGGTCCTCAATGGATTCAAACGCGGCTATTGACTCTTCTTCTTCCTCCTGCAACCTGGACAATGCATCTGGGACATGATGTTGTGCACCTCTTCTGTGAACTATGTCAAAGTCCCACTGTTGCATTTCTAGGGCCCATCTGGCTAATCGGCCTGTAGGATCTTTCAAGTTCCTGAGCCATTTTAGGGCACTGTGATCCGTGATCACATGGAATTTGTACCCCTCGATGTACGGCCTGAACTTTTTGATCGACCACAGTAATGACAGACACTCCTTTTCTGTCACACTATAGTTTCTCTCTGGCTCCGTCAAGACTCGGCTGATGTAGACTATTGGATGTTCTCCGTCTTCGAACTCTTGCGTTAGTACGGCTCCAATGGCATAGTTGCTGGCGTCACACTGAATTGTGAACTTCTTCGTGAAGTCAGGTCGGGCTAAGACTGGCGCAGATGTCAGCTTCTGTTTGAGCTGTTCAAAAGCTTCTTGTTGCTCTTCCTCCCACTCCCACGTTCGGCCTTTGTGTAGCAACTTCAGCAATGGTATTTTAATTTCGCTGTCGTTTGGAATAAAACGGGAATACCACCCGACCATGCCTAAGACACGTCTGAGTTGTCTAACGTTCTTCGGCTCTGGATAGTTTCTCACCGGCTCTGTTTTATTCGGATCTGCACTCAGACCCTGTCTGTCCAATAAGTAACCCAGATAAGTTACTTCGGAACACCCGAACTCACACTTATCTGGGTTCACTATTAACTTCGCCTTGTTCAACTCCTTGAGGACGAACTCTAACCACTTAGCGTGTTCTTCAAAAGTGTCTGTGACTACTATGATGTCGTCCAGATACCCGAAGACATGCGGCTCTACTTTCGGCCCAAGTAATGCGTCGATTAGGCGTTGGAACGTCATCGGCGCGTTCATGAGTCCAAATGGCATTCGGCGAAACTGCCATAGTCCTGACCCAGGTACGGCAAAAGCGGTGTATTTCTTGCTCTCTTCGGCCATTGGTATTTGATGATATGCCAGCTTGAGATCTACCTTCGACAAATATCTAGCTTTTCGGAGCTTATCCAAAATATAATCAATGGATGGCAGTGGATACCCATCTTTGATCGTAACTTTGTTGACATCTCTGTAGTCATTACACTGTCGAAAATCGTTCTCTCCTCTTCTCGTAATTACTGGCGCACTCCTCCAACGGCTGGCAGATGGCTCGATGATCCCTAGTTTGTATAGTTCGGCAGCATTACCTTGGGCCCAAGTTAACATGGTTGGCGACATCCGTCTGATGCCATGTTGCACTGGCGTTTCGTCTGTAACACGTATATGATGTTCCGTCAAGTCTGTCATTCCGTGTTCTTCCGACTCTGGCAATACCCATTTGTCTACTATGGCTTGGATTATGCTTTTCTGCTCATCGTCAAGCGCAGAAATACCGGCACATTGGGCGAATATTAAATTCTCGTTCTCGTCTGTTTCTGTTGGCCCAAACTCGTGCCATTCTCCATTGAATACTCTCCATAATCCTTCTTTCAGCTTCACTTCCATGTCCCAGGCCTTGCAGAAGTCGATGCCCAAGATGATGTCCTGTGTCAAAGTCTTCATGACTTTTACTGCGAATTTCTGAGTAAATCCGTCGACTACAATGTTAAGGTCCAGAAGTCCGGCTGTTTCGGTGATACCTCCTGTTGCACTCCTCACAACTGTACCACACGGCTGAATTCGGCTTTTGAAAGGCTCTGCGACTCTGGTGGTAATTACTGAAATCATAGCACCAGGATCTAAAAGTGCCTCGTAATGATGGTCGCCGATAGACATGTCGAAGAAGCATCTGTTCTCCGTCCTAGATCCGTCGATGTCCTCCTCATTACTTAGGTTCGGGTCAGCTGTGACTCTCACAGCCTCTCCCCTCCCCTGGACTATAGGTACCGGGATCACATCCGTACCTTTTGTCCCACACTCTTCGGCCATTTTCTCTACTTCGTTTCGGTAGAGTGGGCTCTCCTCACTCGACTGCTCTTGTCTAATTTCTGGCACGAATTTGAACGCGTTGTCCTCTGTCAAGTCGTCCCTACCTATGACTGGCTCTAAACTTTTCTTAACTTTCATTTCTACTTCTAATTCTACTTCTCTCTCAGTTTTTACCCAACTACAACTGGGCGTGAATCTATCTCTATACTCGCTATTTATCTCTATTCTACATGGCTCAAAAATCTCGGCTCTCCTCTCTACCACGCACGGCTCACTAAATTCGGCTCTCGTCTCTACGACACTCGGCCCCCAAAATTCGGCTCTACACCCCTCAACAGTATTATTTACTGTCCTATTGGGTTTGAGGGGGGTACGAAAAAAATTCTTAAAAAAAATTCTTATACTTTTTATCAAAGGGGTTACTATTAAAGCAAATTTTGAAAAATAAAAATGTTAATTCTTTGTTAACAAAATCGAAACGGAAACTTATATATGTACACACATACATAATTCGAATCATTGATTTTTAAATAAAAAAAATGTATATATAGAAAACGTTTAAAGCTGACCTTAACTACTGAAAATTCTAAATTCCATTAGTCTTAGCAAATAATTAAACAGTTTTACTTCAAAATGGTTAATTAATATCTACCTAAAAAAGTTTTATTTATAAATCTGACCAAGAGCAGGAATAATATTGATTAATGTAGGAAATTATTTGCTGATTAAGAATTTTAATTAAGGAAGATTTCGACTATATCAGCAATTAGTGACATCTATTAGACGTCGATTGAACTCTTTGGTTTAGAGTCAGGTGTTATTCTTAAGATAATTATTCCGATATGGTTGTTGGTATATAATTATATTTTTTGAATTTAATTTTTGATCTGAAAAAATAAGCTGCGCGAACGACTGCACTGTGCATCTGTGAGGACTCGAACCCCAGTTAATAGCTGCCTTTCGCGGGACTAACGCCTACCAATGCACCATGCCAACACAGCCTGGACGTTCACGTTTCTTATAATCTCAGATCAAGCCCATACACTAGTCGAAGAGCTGTATAGTTAATGTAGGAAATTATTTGCTGATTAAGAATTTTAATTAAGGAAGATTTCGACTATATCAGCATTTAGTGACATCTATTAGACGTCGATTGAACTCTTTGGTTTAGAGTCAGGTGTTATTCTTAAGATAATTATTCCGATATGGTTGTCGGTATATAATTATATTTTTTTAATTTAATTTTTGATCTGAAAAAATAAGCTGCGCGAACGACTGCACTGTGCATCTGTGAGGACTCAAACCCCAGTTAATAGCTGCCTTTCGCGGGACTAACGCCTACCAATGCACCATGTCAATTCAGCCTGGACGTTCACGTTTCTTATAATCTCAGATCAAGCCCATACACTAGTCGAAGAGCTGTATAGTTAAGGCGCTTGTATACCTCCCCGTTTTTGAGTATATTCAGAAACGTGAAACAGTTTTCTAAGTTGAAATGAGTTTTCTAACTAGGAGAACGTGATAGAAAATTCATGTATGGCGGGATGGTTTGAAAATCTATTATTGATAATTGCAATTAGTGAAATATATAAAGTTTTAGAGAAGAAATAAATTTGCATTATAAAATAAAATAATGTAATTAAATTTTTTTGTTAATTTGTTTTGTTAAAAAGTAAAAATAGTGCAAGAGAAATGTGATAAAGTGTTTGCAGTTGTGATGAAGGTGATGTTTTCAGGAAAGGTAATGCGTACCACACGTTTTCTCGTCGAGGAGTCTATTACTATTGTATTTATTAATTAGTTTATTTACTAAGTAATTACTATACTAATTACTATTTATTAAGTGTACAATGGAAACGTCAGAAATTGAGGTAATATATTTTTTATTAAATTTATTAATCGTCTCAATATTATTCACAGGATATATTTAACAAATGCGTGCATTATTTGTAGGTTATGATATTGACACTTGTTGATTTTATTTTTTGTAACTTCTTTATATATATATATATATAAATTTATTTGTCACTGAAATTGTGTAGTAAAATTATTAAATATTTTCATTTCAATTTGCAGATACTCTAAAATATTCTTAAAATTATGAGAAAAATTTGGCAAATGGGCATCATTAAACTTTACTTATTTCTTATAGATTCACGCTTTTCACTTTATTGTAACAAAATGTGAAATATATAATATATACTTATATAAAAGTTTTCTTTGTTTAAATAATTTTTATTAAAAATAAATATATTTTTTGAAACGTAATTTAGTATTTCTTATAATTTTAACTATTGTTCATAGAGTTGTATTTTTCAGATGATAACTTGCATTATTTGTAAAACGCAATTTCCATTATTTGAAACCAGGGAACACGCTTGTTTTGCTGGCGTAGATGAAAGGAATTTGTTCACGTTCAATGAATATGTTGGTCCTGGTGAAGATATAGACACCTATATCGAGGAAATGTTTCCTAAATATTTAGATGAAAATAATGAGGTAATTAAAATTTGAAATTACTTTCATTTTAATCTCTTAATTCGAAAATTTTTCTTATTATTTATATGTTTAAAACACAAATTTTCCTTGAGAACATATTTTTTGTACATTCTTCTCATTCGTATGTAGAAATCTGTCTCAATTGTATATAGTTTTAATTTTTCAATTTTATAAAGTGGATGCTTTTTAAAATCCCTATCTAGTTCTGTTACTAACTTTGTACGAAAAATTTCTTATCATGTAATCTATTTTGTTATTTCTATTACAGTTTATAAATGGAACAGAACAAAATAAAAAAAGGCGATTAAATCACAATGCTACTTTTGATCGTGACAATGATGATCTGGAAATAGTGGAGATAGAAAACGTTGAACTCAGTATGTTTTCATTTTATTACCTTCTAAATTTGAATCAGTTAAAAATAACTCATTCAGAAGCAAAAAGTCAGTCACTAATTCTAATAGTAATATTTTAACTGACAATTAGTTGAATGATCGGGATTTTAAAAATTGACCGGAAAATTTTATAAAATATCCGGGATTTCAAATTAAAAAAGAAATTGCCACCCTAAAAAGTTATAAATTTAATTTATTAATTTCCTTTTTACTGAGAAATTATTATTTATTTACAAATATAAATATTAATATTTTATATATTTTTAGATAAATCTGGAAATGCCAAAAAGAGTACCGAAAATTACTTAGTTCTTCTTGAGCTGGTGAAGGAATTTCCAATTATATGGAATCACAAGCTCCCTATTGAACAAAGACCTCCTCTTGCGAAATCTAAGGCGTGGAATAAAATTTTACAAAGTTTTCCAGGTAAAATTACACAGGCCTTCAAAATTTTGAATTATGTTTTTGTCAATATTTGAATGTCTATAAAATCATCAAAATACTATTATACTATTTTGTGTTTTGTTTTAAATGTTGCAGTAAACTACTATATTTTATCTTTCTAAACCATTTTTTTTATTTAATTCAGATTTTTTTGATGAGTTATATGAATTTTATTATATATTGTTTAAAAATGTAATCTTAAAAACAATTAAATTGTAAAATATTTGAGCTGCAACTAATTACTCAAAGGTAATTTTCTGTCGCTAATTTTATATATTTTGTAGGATGGAGCAGAGACTTCATGATTAAAAAATTTCAATCATTAAAAGATGTGTATATGAAAAGAAAAGCCTATGTACCAAGTGGTTCTGCCCAACGTGCACAAAAGTATTGGGTTTTCGAAGATTCATTTTCCTTTATGAAAGGCATCATTGAACCTGCATCGTAAGAAAATTTCTAATTTTCAAATCTATATCACTTTGAATTTTCGAAGAATTTTTCAGGAAACAATTGTCGATTCATCAACAAATCATTTCACATGTGAAATGACATGTTAAGTAAATTTAGCACTACATATTTGCTACGCTAAAAAATAATGTATGACCTACGTAATAAAGTCTTGAATGGGTAGCTGTCATATAATTCCAAAAAAACTATCTCTAAAAACGTTAACAAGTATTAAAATTGCATATTCAAAAGTTAAATGCATATTAATCTTATTTATATTTAATTTCTTAATATTATTTATTTTATTCATTTTAGGACAATCAGCAACGTTCCACAAGCTTCGCAACCCAACACATCCGATAATGCCAGTAACAATAACACGGAAAGCGCATTAAAGGATTTGGGATTCGATGGAAGAGGAAAATTGCAAGTAGCAGTTATGACAGATTACTATTTTAGTTTTTCATAATTAATAAGAAACTTTTATAAATTTTATAATATTAAACATTTGCCAAAAATTTTATTTTATTTAAATGACTCTTTGGACTTTTATTAATTTTCTTCCAAAAAATTTAATAAAACACCAATTTTTTGGTATAAAATACAACTTATTTTGATATTTATAGTGTGAAAAATAACTTTACTTAAATAAAACATTCAAAACCAATTTTCAATAATTTCTTTAAGATAATTAAATTCTTTAAATGTATAATTTAAAAAAAATTCAGTTACGTAATTGAAACTTTGTAAATAATATATTACTACATATAATTGATATTGAAGTATTAAATTAAAAATGTTTAAAAATAAAATTTTGAAGAATTTGAATTTCAAAATAAATTTTTACAAAATTTTAATGGAAAATGTTATAAACAATAAAAAAAATATCTACGAAAAATAGTTACACTAAGATTCTTTTGAAGTAAAATTTTTAATTATTAAAATTTGGGGGAAAATGATCAATTTTTAAATTGTTAATTAAAATTATTCTAGAAATTGATTGAATATTGAAATTGTCAAAAAAATTATTTTTTCTAAAAATTAGTGAAAGTATTACTGTAATAAAATATGAATTTGGAAAAAGATGAATTATGAGGAACTATGGTTTTGACAAAATTGAATTTTGAATAATTATGTATTTTTGCAGGTACTAGAAAAAGGGCTACGCCATTCGATGCAGAAATTTTAAAGTGCATTGATACTATAACTTCATCGAAACAAGGCCAAACTTTTAGTAGTTACGAGCAGTTTGGATTATCAATCGGAAAAGAAATAGAGAAATTAGAAACTAATTACCAAAGAATGAGTGTCCAAATTAAAATTTTAGAAATTCTGCGAAATGCTGCAAGCAATTATGAGGAATAATATTTTCATAAGCAAAATACTTTAAGAAAAATATGTGATTAACATAATCTAAGTCTTAAAAGACATGACTGATTATCTTAAATACCTCCACCTCAAAAATGTTTAATCTAATATTTAAAATATTTATTTCATACGTATAACTCTACAGACTGTTAAACTTCAGAATTGTTGTTAAAAAACACATTAAAAATTGGATGTGTTTGTGAGAAAAAAAGTATTATTTTGATACTCTATGTTATAAAATAGATAGTAATATTTCTGTATGTTTAATGAGAGATAATATTTATGTGTCCTATTTAAAAAGTTAAATACATTAAAAATTATATGTGTTTATAAAAAAGTATTGTTTTGATACTCTATGTTATAAAAAAGATGGTAAGAATATCGTATGTTTAATGAGAAGGAATATTGACGTTTCCCGTTTTCAATACAAAATTTGAAAGAAAAAAGAATTATTTTATTTTAAAAGTGAACCCTCTAAATCTATTTTAAAATACTTTATTTTAAACAATTCAAACAACTAGTACAAGTAAAATTATAATAATAAAAACTTTTTGTATAAATTTATTTATTTCGTAAAATTTTTTTCTGTATTCAACTATTATTTGAAATTTCATCGCGAATTAAAAAGAGACTAACTTCGTATTTTTTCAATTATCACTCCTAGCCATTAGTATATATACAGTCAACTCTCGATAAGACAAAGCGCGATAACTAAAATTTTTCGGTAAGTCAAAGTAATTCTTGGGTCCCGTTTATTCCTTATAAGCATTATTAACATTTGATAACTCAAACTTTTCGGTCTCCCTTCGAGTTTGTCTTATCGAGAGTTGACTGTATATATATTTATTTATTTACATGTTTTGAAGATGAAAACTTTATAAGAATTTTTTCAAGACTTTCATTTTAAAATCAATTTTAGAATACCCATCATCTCTATGAGAATAGTTTTGTTATGTCTCTTTTACTATACTTATTGACTTTTAATGTAGTACAAATTATTACATCATTCAACGATTGATCAATTTCCTTCATACATCCTAAAGTTACAATTTAAGCCGACAATCATGAAACTAAGAGACAGACATTAAAAACGTATTTTCATAACATGTTATCACATAAAAAATCATTACCAGAACAAACTGATTACTCTTCGTAAACAGCTCTTTCCTGCCATGACACTTTCCCTGGACCCATAAAATAATCTTTAAAATGATTTTTTATATTTTTAGCCAAATTCTTTTTAGCAGCCGCCGATTGAGGTATAACTAAAGGCTGCAAAGCACTATTGTCAATTTCACTACTGATTTGTTCGTCGATATTTACGGGACAATAATGTCGCATGTCTTGTGGTAACTTTTTCTCTTCTTTTATTATAAAATTGTGCAAACACACTGTTGCCAGTACAATCAATTTTACCACACTCAAATTAGCCATGATTGGTGTACGGAAGATTCTCCAAACCGCAACTAAAATACCAAATGCATTCTCAATTGTTCGACGAGCTCTACTTAGTCTGTAATTAAAAATATTTTTGTCGATTGACAGATTTCCAGTCGTCGCTCCTTTGTACGGTGTTAAACAATGTAAATCTCAAACGCAGCGTCAGCAATGAAGACTAGTGGCATATTAGGACCATCAGCATATAGAGGCATTGGAGGTGGTATATTCAACCGATTTTCTCTAAGTGCTTGGAAAAATGTAGAATTTTTAAAAACACCTCCATCACTTTGACGACCTTTACCTCCAACATCCACCATTGTGAACATGTAGTTGGCATTGCACATTGCTAGAAGAACAATGCTGTGGAAGTGTTTGTAGTTGTAGTAATCCGATCCAGTATCAGGTTGTCCCTGAAAAAGTTTAAAATTACTCAATAAAAATAATTTCAAAATATTTAAAAATCATGCATTGTAAAAATTTAAAATATTTAAATTATAGTAAATAAATTATGCATTATGATTGGGATTTAGCCAATTGTAGCTTATTCACTATTTTAATTACCTGCATTAAAACATGTTTTCCATCCATAGCTCCGTAACAGTTAGGGAACTGCCATTTTTCTTTAAAATCATTAATTGTCTCCATCCAATCACCTGTAGCGTTTGGTAAAACAAGTACTTCAGGTTGCAATGTTGTCCACAGAACCTGTAGCAAGATATCTAAAACAAGATAAGAAATTAATAAAAAATATTATGAATTTGCCTAATGATTACAATATTGAAGAATAAAAACTCTATTTACTTTACATTCTCATAATAGAATCAAAAGTCGGTTTACTTTTTATTACAAGACATATTTGTTATGTTTTAGTATTGTTTTTGAAAATTTTCATCAAAATAAGACGGAAAAACTAATTTGAGCGTTTTTGCAATATTTTTTAAATAATAAACAGTGGGCAAAGGGACATGCTATGTCTATACGATGTCCTTAAGATATCCTGAGGAAGTTTTTGTTCGTTCAAAAGGACGTTCTAAAGATATCTTATATCCTTAGGTTATAAGATATCTTTCAAACGGATATAGAGAATCCTAAAGAAATTCCATGTCCCACTGTCTGCAAGGAATTATTAGAATTATGCGCAGAAAAATTACCTCAAAGTAACAATTAATTTCTCGGATGGTTTAATTATATCGGTTCTAGTAGGACACTTTTGCAATTGAGATCCGACTTTCAATAGTAAAGTTTCGAATGCAGAAACTGACATTCGAAGATGGTTACGAAACATCACTGGATCATACATGGCCATTTCTCTTACTAACGCATTGTGCGCACCTGAAACATTAAGACAATCATATATTTTATTCGTAGATACAATACATTAATATAAATTGTATTTTCTTTATCAACATACCAAACACAGAATGTTGATGTTGTAGCCAAAGAGGATGTACTCTATACCGTCGATTTCTCTTATTTCTTTCTAGGTATAACTTTCGACTTAAGAGCAAAAAAGCCAATTTACTCTTAACAACCTATAAATTAGTATTATTAAATTTGTTATGCTTTTGTTACTGTTATATTTTTATTTTTATTATTAAGATTTGTTTCTAGACAAATGGTTTCAGTACAAAGTAAAGTAATTCAATTGTATTTAAAAAGAATTCTTACTATTAATAAACAAAATTGATTAAACAATGGTAAATTTTGTTACAATAAAGTGAAAAGCGTGAATCTATAAGAAATAAGTAAAGTTTAATGATGCCCATTTGCCAAATTTTTCTCATAATTTTAAGAATATTTTAGAGTATCTGCAAATTGAAATGAAAATATTTAATAATTTTACTACACAATTTCAGTGACAAATAAATTTATATATGGGGCATTCCACGCTAAGTCGGACACCTTTTGACTTTTGCATCTCCGATTTTTTTCAAATATTTTTTTTCTTTTAGTGCTGGTTGAAAGGAACTTCCATGATTTTTTTCAAATTTTTTCATGAAGTAATTTAAGAGATCTGGGTTTTTGAAAAATCACGTTTTTTACATAAATTTTTTTTTTAAATGCTTATAACTCGGACAAAAATTGATCAAATTGGACGTTCGTTATATGAAAATTTTTGTTTTTACACGTAGTTTTTGATAAAAATATTAAAAAAAAATTTTTTTCTAATTTACCAAAAAAATTTTAAATTTTAAAAATAAAATTTAATTTTTAAGAATGTATGTATCGATCGATTTTTTTCAAAATTTTTTGTAAGAAACTGGTACTAAATTAAGAATTTTTAATCCTTGTCTGATTGTGGGCAAACGATGGGATCTATTTATTTTGAAATTTTTAATTTTTGTAAAACGGTAGGTAGCCAAATGCCTAACTTGCAATTTGATCAAATCACTTTTTTAAACAGTAAGAAGGTTAAGTTCGGAGAGACTCAGTCTGAAAACAGTTTTGGTTTGAAAAATTTGCGTGATTTGGTCAAATGTCAAGTTACGCATTTGGCTACCTACCGTTTTCACTGCGTATACAAAAATTAAAAATTACAAAATAAATAGATCCCATCGTTTGCCCACAATCAGACAAGGATTAAAAATTCTTAATTTAGTACCAGTTTCTTACAAAAAATTTTGAAAAAAATCGATCGATACATACATTCTTAAAAATTAAATTTTATTTTTAAAATTTAAAATTTTTTTGGTAAATTAAAAAAAAATTTTTTTTTAATATTTTTATCAAAAACTACGTGTAAAAACAAAAATTTTCATATATCAAACGTCCAATTTGATCAATTTTTGTCCGAGTTATAAGCATTTAAAAAAAAAATTTATGTAAAAAACGTGATTTTCAAAAACCCAGATCTCTTAAATTACTTCATGAAAAAATTTGAAAAAAATCATGGAAGTTCCTTTCAACCAGCACTAAAAGAAAAAAAATATTTGAAAAAAATCGGAGATGCAAAAGTCAACAGGTGTCCGACTTGGCGTGGAATGCCCCATATATATATATATAAAGAAGTTACAAAAAATAAAATCAACAAGTGTCAATATCATAACCTACAAATAATGCACGCATTTGTTAAATATATCCTGTGAATAATATTGAGACGATTAATAAATTTAATAAAAAATATATTACCTCAATTTCTGACGTTTCCATTGTACACTTAATAAATAGTAATTAGTATAGTAATTACTTAGTAAATAAACTAATTAATAAATACAATAGTAATAGACTCCTCGACGAGAAAACGTGTGGTACGCATTACCTTTCCTGAAAACATCACCTTCATCACAACTGCAAACACTTTATCACATTTCTCTTGCACTATTTTCACTTTTTAACAAAACAAATTAACAAAAAAATTTAATTACATTATTTTATTTTATAATGCAAATTTATTTCTTCTCTAAAACTTTATATATTTCACTAATTGCAATTATCAATAATAGATTTTCAAACCATCCCGCCATACATGAATTTTCTATAACGTTCTCCTAGTTAGAAAACTCATTTCAACTTAGAAAACTGTTTCACGTTTCTGAATATACTCAAAAACGGGGAGGTATACAAGCGCCTTTAATGTAGGAAATTATTATATGCTGATATAGTCGAAATCTTCCTTAATTAAAATTCTTAATCAGCAAATAATTTCCTACATTAACTATACAGCTCTTCGACTAGTGTATGGGCTTGATCTGAGATTATAAGAAACGTGAACGTCCAGGCTGTATTGACATGGTGCATTGGTAGGCGTTAGTCCCGCGAAAGGCAGCTATTAACTGGGGTTCAAGTCCTCACAGATGCACAGTGCGCAGTCTCGCAGCTTATTTTTTCAGATCAAAAATTAAATTCAATAAATATAATTATATACCGACAACCATATCGGAATAATTATCTTAAGAATAACACCTGACTCGAAACCAAAGAGTTCAATCGACGTTTAATAGATGTCACTAATTGCTGATATAGTCGAAATCTTCCTTAATAATATTGATTGATTATCACAATTAAATCACATATTCAATTCCTTTGTGATTCATTTAAAATCATTATTGTTGGAATTATTATTACATAATTGATTTAATCATTGATTCTATTAAAAAAATAATTACTACTAATAAGTACTAAAAAGAAATTAAAATAATTAGAAGGGATACACATGTTTTTACAATAAAGGTAAATCCAATAAGTAATTTATAATTATACATTTATTAAATTTTCATTGAAATCTATACAATAAAAGTGAAAACATCGTAAGTAGAAATAAATTGGTCGTGTGTGAAAATATTTAATAATTAATAAACGCTGCAAGGCAAGGCAAGGCAAGGCAATCTTCAAATTAATATACTAGGTGCTGGGAAAACTTTATTTACAAAATCGTAATCTAAGTCAAAAATTTTATATTTATCACTACCCTCTGGACACGGAAACTTCATTGTTATAGAAACGTCCCTAAAACGTTTTTAGAACTTTTCATATTCTCCACATAACGTCTTAAAAACGTTTTTATAACATTAGACGTTCTTAAGACTTTATGTAGCGGACATGAAACGTTCTAAAAACGTTTTAGGAACGTTTCTAGAATAAAGACGTTTTATTGCCAAGAGGGTATCATTTACTTCTGCGGCAAAATTTTGTAGATCAGTGATATTCGTAAAATAAGATAAGAGAAGAGGTTTTCTTGACTAGTTAACATGGGTCGTTTTCGGCATGGTCATGGATCGCGATCCGGATCACTAAGTATCCAATCCGGATCGCGATCCATCGCGATCCGTGACCATGCCGAAAACGGCCAGAGTGTAGGTAGCTGGATTGTCACAAAGAACACAAGTATCTGATTAGATGGTGAATTCTGGACTAGTTAATTTGAAGGCGTTTCATGAATTAACTAGAAAAAGACGACTTTCAAGAAAAATTTTTTTCTTAAAAAAAGTTCAAACAATTTGCCTTAAATTGTTTTACTTTGCTGCAAATGAAATTGTTGAATATTTCTGCTAGAAGAGTGATTGAAGCCAAAGTGTATCCAATTTTCAGTACGTAGAAGAGAACCAATAGCAATTTTTCTTTTTCAATTATGTCTGGCGATGAAACTTTTTGCATTTCTGGCAATTTCTCAAAAAGCAATTCTTGCAGCAAACCGTGATCAAAGGCTTTCACAATTATTTTGTTAAAATGATCTATGAATGGTGAACGATTCCTTGTAACGAACGTCATTGGATAATTGTCGATATACCCCTGCAGTATTTTAAAACTAAATTCTTGATTTTTAAGATTAAATCTTTTTATTAAAATTTCAGGATTAAATATTATACAGGAAACGTTTCGGTTTTTGACCAAGAATTGTAAGCAATCATAGTCTGAAATACCAGATCTCCTCACTGCCTTAGAGGCTAATTTTTTAATGAAAGCCAGATGACTTTTATGCATTGAATCATTTATGAAAGAACTGGTCATTGGTGTCAACGATGAATTTACCAGTTCTTTGATAGTTGAAATTTGAGGAGATTCTCGGAAATTGATTTCCAAAATGACTGAAAACAAGTAACCAGAGTAGACCATGCAACTCAATATTACAATTCCAAAAACTAATTAGTTTTTGGAATTGTAATATTGAGTTGCATAAAAATAATAAGAATAATAAGAATTAAACCATTTCTAAATATTTAGAAATGGTTTAATTCTTATTATTCTAGGTTAAAATTAATTTCATATGAATATATAGTTTTTTTATTTTTTCAGGAAGAGAAACGAAATTTTTTTTCTAATTATATTACCGAAGATTTTACCACTTATGTGAATAGAAAGCGGCAAAACGATGTGTTCGGAAATCATTTAGAAATACAGGCCATCTCCGAAAAGTATAATATAAATGTGGAGCTGTATCGTTATAGTACAGGTATTTTTTGTGTTCACTTAAACTGGTAGTTATTTCAACTACTGTCAATCTAAACTAAAATCAGTTTAAACCAAATTCAGTCTAACTAATTTCAGAAAATTATTTTTTCCAAATTTGAAAACTTTTCAGAGCCTGCCAACATTCTTTATGCAGTGCCCAGATCAAATAGTGAACCAATACGATTGTCTTATCACAGAAATAATCACTACAATTGCGTTGTTAAAATTCACGAAGCTCCTTCTGTACCATTAGATTCTCCACAAAATTCTCTACAGAATTCTACAAAGGTTTGTATAAACATAATCATTTCTTACAGACTCGAAATTCGTCTTTTTCGAAATAACTTCTTCTCAAAACCAAACATTAAGTAAACAAGTTGTAAATGCAGATGTTCATTACATGAATATTTCGATGCTTTCTTATGATCAGCAAAAAAATTTTCTTTCTTGTGGAGGAAGCATAAACATTAAAGAAATGTTTATTTATTAATTCTTGATGCAAAGAATAAAATTGTTAAGAATAAGATTATTATTATTATTGTATTGAATAAAGAAAAATAGTTTTATTAAAAATCACCGTAATTAACTGACTGCCTTTATGTACCTTGTTGCTTAATATAGGGGAGCGTGGGGGAATTGGAGCCCCTTAAGGAAAATTATTTAAAAAACCAACTTATCTTTATAATAATACATTGTTTTTGTTATTTCCTACTCAGTTCGTTATTTATCTTTAATTATGTTTAATTAGAAACTTAAAAAGAGAAAGTAAATTGGGAAAAAAAATTTAAAAAAAAAAAACATTTTTTGCCATTACCCAATTTGTGGGGTAATGGGAGCTTTCACTTGAAATTTAAAAAATTTCTATATTTTAGGAATATTTTTTGTTTTCTAATAGAAAAAAGTGTTAATACTTACAATGAAGCCAAAACTTTAGACTTAGAATAATTTTTTTCCTAAATTATAATTGAATAAAAATTTTTTGAAAAAAAATTAAATTTTTCATTTTTCCCACCAAAAATTATTTTTTAATTAAAAGTTTTTTCATAAGGTAATATCTTTTACAATTTTCAAAGAAATAACGAAAGACGCAACATAGTAACGAAAATTCTTTGGTCTGACACTAATTCTCCCATTACCCCACAGAATTTTTACAGGCCAAAATTTGAATAAAAAAATAAAAACTTTTTTGCTGACATTCCTCACGTTTTAAAAAATACAGTTTCTGCTATCATAAGTAATAAAAAATATACATTCCTGAAGATATGCAACAAATTTATAATTTACCTACCAATGTAGCCGATGCAACTCATCTCGTAGAAATATTACAAACGCAAAAAAATTTAACTTTTACTTTAACACCCGGACTTAAAGTTGGGGATGTTTTATTGTCGCAAAATAAAAGATTCGCAAAAATGAAAGTTAATAGAGCACATAAGATTTTAAGTCCCGAAGTTGGTGCAGCGCTTTACTTCCTTGCTGATACGAATTCAAAACCGGAATACGTTACGACTGCATGGTTTTTCAATGTCATTGCAAAATGGTTTCGCTTGATGACTTCGCGAAGTTTGCAGTGTGCAATTAGCAAATTTGACGACAAAAAGTATGAAAATACAATTTCTTTTTAACAGGCATGGTGGACTTAATGAGTCGTATACGAGTTGGAAATGCTGGAGTTTTTAAGCCCATTCAAAAAGGTTTCATGATATCAACTTCCTCGGCTATAGAATTAAGTAATTATCTACTAAACCAACGTGCGACCTTCGCTTAATATCAATTGCACAATACATACTTCCTGTAAAAACGAGCTGCTACGAGCCAAAAAGCACAAAAAAAAGAAAACTTCCAGATAGTAACGAGATATTAACAGAGATTCAAGACAACTCTCAACCTTATCAATCTGTTTTAGATACTGACGATAATCAAATATTTGTTATGAAAAACTCGAATGCTCTTGATTTTTTATGATTGAGTTATCTGAACAATCGGTTCAGAACGAAATGGAAAGTTTAGAAAAAACGCTTTCTATCAAGTAACAGGCTATTTAATTCATAGTATTACGAAACAAAGTAGGACAAATATTTGTGAACCTTGTATTGCTTCTGTTAGTTCCAAACAATATAACCAATTACCGTATTCGACATATACTACTTACAGGTGCTATAAAGAAAACACTCTTTTTTTCGTAAACGAAAAAACTTTTCAGTTTTTCTTAAAATTGGAACGCATTTATCGCATTTTTTTAAATTTATTTATACCTTATAATATACAGAAGATTTTCCAAAAAGTTTTGGAGTGGGCCGACGCGTTTAATGAGTTGTACAAAATTTTCAAAAATCACGTTCAAGGTGCTCGCATTCTACGAAACGCCTCACTATTGGAATTTTTTTACAATTTACTTATCAAAAAATGTCTACAGACTAAAATTTTTTAATCGATTCGAGTGTTTTTTGTTTTAAATAAAAGGAGAACAATTTCTGAAGATATCTCTCCATGCAAACCTAAGAATCTTCAATTGTTTATAATTTTTTTTAAAAACAAAAAGTTAACAAATTAATTGTGTATTTTCCTTTAAAAATGAAAGATTATTTTCTTATTTTGCTACTACACATGTCCTAAATCAGATTCAATTAATATAATATACGACCACCAAATAAATAGTAAAACATAAAATAATTTATCTAAACTGTTATAAACAATATTAGTTAACAAATAGTTAACTTTGGTTCCTCTCAATAAAAAAACTTTGTTCTTTTATATTCATATTTTACTTTAGGTTCATTTAATGAATACATCTCCCTTTCGTTAAAAAACAATTTTTAATTGTTATAAACAATAATAGTTAACAAATAATGAACTTTGGTTCCTCTGATCTAATCTAATCTAATCTGACACCGAGATCGAGCTGGATTTTCCTCAAGAGGGGAAAGTAAGCACCTAGGTTATAGAACCCATTGTACCAGACTCCAGTTCGCTCGTTTATAGCAACTTCTTAGAGTCCTGTTCTTCTCCAGAAGTCCAGTATCTCTTCTATCGATAGGTTGCTCACCTGCTTAGGGTCAATAATTGCTTGACCCCAGCTAGATAGCCTGATCCTAGCTAACGCTGGGCATTCAGATAATATGTGAGTCGAAGTTTCGTTACTTTCCCCACACAGTCTGCACATAAGTGAAACTTGTCTGCCTATTTTATGCTGATGGTAGTTCAATAGTCCATGACCCGTAAGTAGACGAACTACGGTTCTAACTCTGATCTTATCGAGTTTTAGGAGATCGCTCGCTCGCCTCTTGTTGAGTGCTAACCCCAACAGAGTTTTCGCTTGCCTTCCCATCCCAACGTTCGCCCAATACTTCTCATGTTCCTTTTCACCCCATCTTTCTATGGCTCCCTTAACCAAGCATGGCATTATTGCCACTGCTGGTTCAGGACCTATAAATTTCGTCTCGGAACCGGTTTTCGCCAAGACGTCTACTCTTTCATTACCCTTGATTCCCGAGTGACCCAGTACCCAAATCAATGAAAGTCTATTTGCTGAACCCAACTCATCTAGTACGCTCCGGCATTCCCAGACGAGTTTTGATTCTATTGTGGGATTTTTCAGAGCCCCTAAGGCCGCTTGACTATCCACACAAATACTAATCCTCTTGCCCTTTGTTCCATTTCGAATGGATATTTGGGCGCAAGTTAAAATCGCACAGACCTCTGCCTGCCAGACCGTGGCATGTTGTCCTAATGACTCAGCCACTTTAATGCAGCCAGTTTTCCGATAAATTCCGAAGCCTGCACCGCAGTCCATCTTGGAGCCGTCTGTATACCAGACTTCGTCCCCAAGTGGAAAACCTTTCTTCCAGTCCATTCTGGAAGGTGTAATGATCTTAAAGCGGGGTTTAAATTTCACCCTCTTGATCATTCTATCTTGCACCATACTTAATTCTGGTATTGATAGAATTGAGCGTGGAAGCTTGGTGTGTATACCACCAACCTTCCACCTTCCCTGCGCAGTTAACCTGCTCATAGTGAGAGCCGCCTTTTTCACCGCGGCAATATGCAGAGGTACCTCGGCAAGCATGAATCCCAACGCAGCTGTTGGCGTGGTCCTCATTGCCCCCGTAATACCCCTGAAAATCATTGCTTGCAGTTGGCCTAGTTTCTCTTTAACCGTTATCAGTTGAGTCCTAGACCACCAGACAACCACCGCGTGAAGAAACCTTGGTTTTAAGATCATCTGATAGAGCCAGTTGACCATATTAGGCCTTAGTCCCCATGATGACCCTATCGCCCTTCTACACGCCCAAAACGCGGTACAAAACCTGATATACTGATATTCGAAATGTTCCCTCCAAACCAGCTTTTTATCCAGGATTACTCCCAGATACTTAGCCGATTCAGAAAAGGAAATCTCTTTTCCATAAAATATCGGTTTCTTCAAACTCGGTACCTTATATTTTCTTGTGAAAACTACTATATTCGTTTTCTCTGGGTTTACAGAAAGTCCAGTCAGATTGCACCAATCCTTGACAATCTTAAGCGCACATTCCGTAAGTTCTAAGAGGGTCTCAATTGAGTGCCCTCTTATAATTATAAGGAAATCATCCGCATAACTTTGCGTATAATATCCCTGGCTATTGAGGTTTCTAATTAACTTATCTGCCACTAAGCACCACAATAAAGGAGAGACAACTCCTCCCTGTGGGCACCCTTTTGAGACAAGGCCAGTTACCTTGGCCTCACCATACACTGCCTCCAGGGCCCTTTCGCGAAGCATGCTGTCGATCCACTTAACTAGCGGCTCGGGCACGCCTCGCATCCTGGCTGCCCTGCAGATAGTTTTGCTAGAGGTGTTAGGGAAGGCACCTTCGATATCAAGAAAAGTACCAACAGACACTCTCCAGTCCCTCAAGCCATCACAAAAAGACTTGGAACAGATCGTAATATCCAACACCTCTTTTCTGTTAACAGTAACGAAAGTCGGCTCATTACCCTGATTTAAAATATCTAAATCTGTATCTAACAGAAAATCTAAAAGTCTTCTGCCTCTATCATTAATGTCAGTGCTGCCCCATACGACATGGTGCGCATTGGCATCACAACCTATTATTAATGGGAGACCTTGCCGTTGACAGTAATCTACCAACTTCTCCACCTCTGCAGGTGGTGCGGGGTCATCCCCCGATCCCGGAAAATATGCGGAAGCTACTACAACCTCCCTTTTATTTCCGTTCTTTTCTAGGTACTTAGCCTTAACAACAACTAAGTCCCTGGTAGTTAATTCCAATAGAGGGAAAGCATCTAGACCTTTATAGATCAGACAAGCCCTTGGAACTGGTTCCTGTGGTGAACTAACTAGCACCCCACCGCCACTTAGACCTCTAATCTTACCCTTGTAAACCCAAGGTTCTTGAACAAAGGCTATAGCTGTCTGCATCCTTGCAAAGTTCTTGGCTAGAATCGCTGAAGCGCCCTTACAATGATGCAAGTTAATCTGCATACAGTGGATCCCGGAAGCAGCCATATTTAAGACTGACTCACGGTCCCCTCTGTCGCGTCCACACCTTGATCGCCAGCATCGTGATCCCCCAAAAGGGCTCTTCGACGCTCACGTGTGTGGTTTTATTTTTATTAATTTCTGTAGTATCCATTATGGTCCCACGAGAAAAGAGGAAAGAAAGGTCAATCCTTAAAGAGCCTCTATTTAAGGAAAAGGCTAAATTACATCTGAAAGTTCGCCTGGTATCTCAGAGTCTCGTTCAAGATACCTCCATTTGAGCCCCACCCCGGGGACGGGTCGTCCAGAAGACGGGCCCTTCCTGTAACACAACCGTTCCCGAGCTTTACGGTTTACGGTTAATTGTGCCCAGCGAAGGTCGTCCCCCGTCCAACCCCCTCCCCACGGAAGAACCCGACGGATTTGTTAACCCTAGTATCATTCATCCATGGACACGAGTTCATCACGGATTGGGTGGCAGAGACTCGCGCCTCAATCGCCATGGCACAGCCAACGCAACCATGGAAGGGTTTCTTCTTGGTCAGACTTCCACCAGTAGGAAGTCTTCGGAATGGACCCGCGGTTAAGCCTCTGTACATCCCGTCTCTCTCGATATCCCTCTAAATCCCCGTGCCCTGAGACACTCCCCAGCGAAACACACAAGATTCGGTTTCTATAGCGGCCGACCCATTTTGAAGGGTTCGCCCCCTCAGTCCCCACGAGAGATATCGAGAAGTAGCCTCCCACTGGGTAAAAGCCCCTCGTGCGCCTCCCAGTAACGGCAAGGTCTTGAAACCCCTAGGGAGGGTTTGGTTCCTCTGCACAGAGGGGAACATTTCGAATATCACTATATCAGGTTTTGTACCGCGTTTTGGGCGTGTAGAAGGGCGATAGGGTCATCATGGGGACTAAGGCCTAATATGGTCAACTGGCTCTATCAGATGATCTTAAAACCAAGGTTTCTTCACGCGGTGGTTGTCTGGTGGTCTAGGACTCAACTGATAACGGTTAAAGAGAAACTAGGCCAACTGCAAGCAATGGTTTTCAGGGGTATTTTCAGGGCTCTCACTATGAGCAGGTTAACTGCGCAGGGAAGGTGGAAGGTTGGTGGTATACACACCAAGCTTCCACGCTCAATTCTATCAATACCAGAATTAAGTATGGTGCAAGACAGAATGATCAAGAGGGTGAAATTTAAACCCCGCTTTAAGATCATTACACCTTCCAGAATGGACTGGAAGAAAGGTTTTCCACTTGGGGACGAAGTCTGGTATACAGACGGCTCCAAGATGGACTGCGGTGCAGGCTTCGGAATTTATCGGAAAACTGGCTGCATTAAAGTGGCTGAGTCATTAGGACAACATGCCACGGTCTGGCAGGCAGAGGTCTGTGCGATTTTAACTTGCGCCCAAATATCCATTCGAAATGGAACAAAGGGCAAGAGGATTAGTATTTGTGTGGATAGTCAAGCGGCCTTAGGGGCTCTGAAAAATCCCACAATAGAATCAAAACTCGTCTGGGAATGCCGGAGCGTACTAGATGAGTTGGGTTCAGCAAATAGACTTTCATTGATTTGGGTACCGGGTCACTCGGGAATCAAGGGTAATGAAAGAGTAGACGTCTTGGCGAAAACCGGTTCCGAGACGAAATTTATAGGTCCTGAACCAGCAGTGGCAATAATGCCATGCTTGGTTAAGGGAGCCATAGAAAGATGGGGTGAAAAGGAACATGAGAAGTATTGGGCGAACGTTGGGATGGGAAGGCAAGCGAAAACTCTGTTGGGGTTAGCACTCAACAAGAGGCGAGCGAGCGATCTCCTAAAACTCGATAAGATCAGAGTTAGAACCGTAGTTCGTCTACTTACAGGTCATGGACTATTGAACTACCATCAGCATAAAATAGGCAGACAAGTTTCACTTATGTGCAGACTGTGTGGGGAAAGTAACGAAACTTCGACTCACATATTATCTGAATGCCCAGCGTTAGCTAGGATCAGGCTATCTAGCTGGGGTCAAGCAATTATTGACCCTAAGCAGGTGAGCAACCTATCGATAGAAGAGATACTGGACTTCTGGAGAAGAACAGGACTCTAAGAAGTTGCTATAAACGAGCGAACTGGAGTCTGGTACAATGGGTTCTATAACCTAGGTGCTTACTTTCCCCTCTTGAGGAAAATCCAGCTCGATCTCGGTGTCAGATTAGATTAGATTAGATCAGAGGAACCAAAGTTCATTATTTGTTAACTATTATTGTTTATAACAATTAAAAATTGTTTTTTAACGAAAGGGAGATGTATTCATTAAATGAACCTAAAGTAAAATATGAATATAAAAGAACAAAGTTTTTTTATTGAGAGGAACCAAAGTTAACTATTTGTTAACTAATATTGTTTATAACAGTTTAGATAAATTATTTTATGTTTTACTATTTATTTGGTGGTCGTATATTATATTAATTGAATCTGATTTAGGACATGTGTAGTAGCAAAATAAGAAAATAATCTTTCATTTTAAAAGGAAACTACACAATTAATTTGTTAACTTTTTGTTTTTAAAAAAAATTATAAACAATTGAAGATTCTTAGGTTTGCATTGAGAGATATCTTCAGAAATTGTTCTCCTTTTATTTAAAACAAAAAACTTTTTGGAAAATCTTCTGTATATTATAAGGTATAAATAAATTTAAAAAAAAGGGTCCAAAGTTAAAAAAAATTAATTTGTTTATAAAAAAAAATTTTTTTTTTTAAATTAAAAAAAAATTTTTTTTTACATTTCTTAAAAGTTGAAAGAAAACTAAAACTTTCATTGCTTGACAATTTTTCTCTAAACTCAATATTTACAGACTTATAAGCTACTGAAAATATGTCTACAGTTACAAATCCAAAATTTCAAAAATTCATAACTCGACAATTTGGGCGATTAAACAAAAATAAAAAAACACGTATTCCTTTTTTTTTCATATAGATTGAGAAAAAAATATGTTTAACCGAATTCTCAAGGTCATAGGTAAATCTTGCGTGGAATTGCCCATATGAATTAATAATATTAAAATAAATTAATTTCAAAAATTTATTTTTCTATATAATTTTTTTAAAAATTTTTAATTTTTCTTTACTTTCTTTTACTCTATCTTTAAATTTTTGAATTTTTTCTAATTACATATTTGAAATTCGCGCGCTTTTATGAGACTTCTGGTTTCGGTTTAATCACACCAATCACAATCGAGAAATCTGTGTCTCAACTCTCTCTTTTGGATCTCTAATGTGACGAAAGTGTGGAAAATTTTTTTTTTTTTTAAAAATGTGACGAGGGGGGAGGGGGAAAAATCAGTCTGAAAAAGTGTGACGTAGTTTGTGAATGACCCCTTTTGTTCTATTGAACTCACGAATAAAAAATAGTTATTATTAAGAGGGAAGAGTTTAAATTTTAATTTTATCGGTCTTAAACATCCATTTTATCTTTTGGGGGTTGGGACTATACAGTAAGATCAGTTGACTATGTTGACTATGTTTAGACTCTAGTATATTTTGGTTTTGAAAAATGCAACCCGACTTGCACTCCGACTCGAAATGAAGATATTGAAGAGGAACCGATTTTGAATTTGCCGCGCCAAATTGTTGCGCGCGCTGCTCAGTAGGAGAATGTCAAATTGACAAAATGGACGTCATCAAAACAAAATTATAACCTCAAGAGTCGTCGTATTTGACAAAATAAATTTAAATAAAATAAAAATAAGAAGTGGTTAGTGATAAAAAGTAAAAATAATGGAAAAGAAACCTTTGTAAAATTATTTAATGGAAAAGTATTTATTGAAAATGCAAAATGAAATAAGAGGAAAAGAAATTTTTATTTGCTGTCAGTATTGCGGCAAGTGATTAATAAAAGAAGAATTGGAAATAAATAATAAATGAAATGTTGACAACAAAAAAACAGTTAACAGAAAAATAATAAAAAATATTGTGAAAAAGTTTTCATTCAGAGACAGTACAATAATGCATTAAATATGGAAATAACAAAGAATGAAAGTGCAATGGTAAGAAACATTGAATAATTTGTGAGATATTTATTAAAATATTGAAAAACAATAATTTAAAGGTATGTTGTAAATTATTTTGATTATTATTGTTATTAGTTTGAATAGATTAATATTAATAAAAATAATTAATTGTACAAAAGTGTTCATTAGAGCAATGACAGAGGTTAAAAAGCCAGGAAAACATTCACAAGAAATGAGATCAGTCGAGCATAAATGCAATTAAAAGTGGATGGATGAAAATAAATACTCAGCAACTATCAGAAAACAGGATAGGAAAGAAAGAATAATTTAAATATCAAAAACATCAAATTACAAAATACTAATAATAAATAATTTTTTCAGCTCAAGATCTAACAATTTAAAATTAACAAACTACACATGAAACAACAACAGGAACAAGAAGAGCAGAAGTTAAAAGCAAAAAAGAAGATAAAGAAAGAACAAGAAAAAAGCTTTGCAACGTATGAAAAGATTTATTTTTTCCTTTTCTCATGTTAAGGAAAAAGACTGTCTGTCAGAGTTTGAAAATAAGCTGAAGTCAATTTGTCGAAAATTTGCATATTTCTTATCTCACAGCAAGGGAATATTTTTGGAAAATTAGAGAAGAAGGTAGAATTGATTTCATTAAAGTTTTACAGAATTTTCATTTCTTTCTCTTTTTTCTAAGTCTAGGAAATGTTTTAAAAAATTATTATATGAAATTTTCTCGTTTCTCATATTAAGGAAAAAGACTTTTGAAATATTGGAAGATGGTAGAGTCATTTATTCAAAAATTTTTATTTTCTCTTCCTTCACAGATAGGAAATAATTTTAAAAAATTAGAGAAAAAGTTTGAAATAAATTCTTTAAAGTTGTACAGATGTTTTTTTAATTTTCTCTTTTTCCTAAGTCTAGGAAATGTTTTGAAAATAATTGGATGAAACTAGAATTGATTTCTTGAAAGTTTTACAGATTTTCCTTTATTTTTCTCTTCTCTCATATTAAGGAAAAAG